CGCCGATTCCACACTTTCCCCAGCAGGAGTCGCTCTATTACGCCATCTCGGCCTTTTTGCGATCCTTCACACCCTTCACACGCGGGGTGAGGAGGGTTGGTCGTTTTTGCGCCCAGTTCAGACTCGCAAGGCCGTTGCGGGAACCGAGAGCGATCTACCCTAGCGAGGGAGTCCCAAAAAGCTTTTGCGGTCCGTTTTTTCTCCCTTATGGGACTGAATCGCCAGGCGAGAGAAGGAAGCGAGCCTTTTAATTCGAATCAGGGAAGGAATTGCACGTTTCAGTGCCAATCGAAAGAAAAACACCAGTTGGACTGTCAGCGGCAAGAAAACGCCGCTCGGCATATTGCAAATGGGTGTCAAGTTGCGGGTTTATGGTTCGTGGGAACTAGGCGATCCTTCGCGCTGTCATGTGGAGAAGAACAACAGTCAGCCGCAAGAAAACGCGGCTCGATATATTGCCCGGGAGTGGCGAATGTAAACTTGCGGGTTTGTGCTTCGTGGGAACCAGCCGCCTCTTCGCAGGGGATGGAGGGAACGTCTCCCTCGAAGGCAGCAGAATCGCCGGTGGGACGCAAACAAAGTTGAGACGGGTGTGTGTGTCTGTGTGTCTGTGTGTGTGTGTGTGTGTGTGTGTGTGAGAGAGAGAGAGAGAGAGAGAGAGAGAGAAAGAGAGAGAGAGAGAGAGAGTGTAGTAGCACAAAACACGATATCCTTCATTTATTCATTTATCAATTTTACTGATTTGTTAAATTTATATACAGTCCATTTCGCGGTCTCGCTTACAATCCGATAAAACCATATTTGTAAATGATTAACCCAGTAGGTCAATAAATATAACCTTAGCTAAATGGCAGAGTATACAATGGAGTGGAGATGATATCTTCTATTTAATTGAAGATGCAGCCTCCATATCTACTTTTTGAGTGGAAGTCCCTGCAAAGGTAGCATCCTCAGGTGACATCCGTGTTGCTGATTGTGTCCCAGTTCTGGGTAGCACAGCAATGCAGAGGCTGTTCCTATCAGGAGGGATTGGAGTGGGTGGGGAGTGACTATCATTAGAAAGCAAAGAGATGGGGATGGCCTGCCTTCCTTGTCTGAAAGTTGTTGGCCAGATAGAGGTTGTGGTGCACACTGATAGCCAACAGGTGAAAGAATATCACAAGCCTAGCTGGGAAGGCAAATTTTGGTGTCTGGGAAGCTAAAGAAATTCAGGTAGGAAAAATGCTATTTCTCCTACTTGCTGGCAGAGGTCTGTTGCAGTCATCATGGGGGTGGGGGTGGGGGTTAGACAATCTAATTCAGGGCTCCCCAAACTTGGCAACTTTAAGACTTGTGGACTTCAACTCCCAGAATTCTCCAACCAGCTATGCTGGCTGGAGAATTTTGCGAGTTGATCTCCACAAGTCTTAAAGTTGCCAAGTTTGAAGACTTCTGATCTAAATGGTGGTGCAGCAAGCAGGGGGTTTAGATCATAAAAGGCTTGGAATCCTTTTTGGACCTGTCCTAAAGAGACCTACTTGAATGAGGATGATTCCCACCAGCTTTTTCAGTTCCAATCAGAATAAGCTATATGTGGTTTACATATGGGAAAAAAAAAGGTGAATTGGGAAGGATTTGGCATTGAGATAACTTCCTTCTAGGTCTTGTGAGGCCAAAAGCGAGGAAAAGAGAAGAAGAGTGTCTTTTGAGAAAGCAGGAAACAACTTGCAGAGGAAAGTTCAAGGTTAAGTCTCCTTGGAATCAAGCTGACCTCCTGGGGATTCCTCAAGCAGCTTCCTGTAGTTTTCTTCACAACAATACAGGGGTGTGTCCAGTTCAGTGGTGGGTTGCCAATTTTTTTACTACCGGTTTGGGCGCACTTGTGCGACACTTCTATGCATGCGCAAAAGCTTCTGGACATGCGCAGAAGCGTTCGGGCAGTGGGCGGAGCCTTCCGCTGCTGCTACTACTGTTTCACCCGAACGGGAAGCAACCCATCTCTGGTCCAGTGGTGGGATTCAAATTTTTTTTACTACAGGTTCTAAGGGCGTGGCTTTGTGGGTGTGGCAGGGGAAGGTTACTGCAAAATCCCCATTCCCTCCCAACCCCACTAACCTGTTTTCCAGCTCCGTTCGCCTGTTGAGGGCAATAAAAGAAGATCAGCTGGGAGGCTGGAAGGCAAGCGGGATTGGGGGGGGGGGCAGCCTATTTGCCAGTTCTCTGAACTACTCAAAATTTCCGCTACAAGTTTTCCAGAACTTGTCAGAACTGGCTGAATACCACCTCTGTGTGTGTGTCTCTATTTCTATTGCTGCCTTCTTTCAACTTCGGGATCAGAACTCGAGGATTTTCTAGTGGTCTCCCATCCAACGAGGAGCCCAGCCAATCTCTGCTTTCTTTTTCAATACCAGCTGTGGTCAGTCAAATAAAAGGGGACCAGTGAGTGAAAGGGAGAGGCAGGAGAAAAGGGGAAGCGGGAATTGTTTGCAGGATTGTAAAAGAAGCTGCAAGGTTCCATTCTGTCCACTTTCTGCCATTGTTCTTTTTCCTTTTGCCATTCAAGCATTGGAGGCAAGGGACACTTTGAGAGACGTAGAACATGAGAGCCCCCCCCCCACATTTTAATGACCGCTTGGCTTAGCAACCTCACCTCTTCCCGTGCTTTGTAAATTATTTTCAACTGCGGAACTGATATTCAGTACAAATAGATTCAGAGATGATGCTCAAATCGCTATTTTAAATTTAAAACGGGGAAAAAAGTTTCTTATCCACGGCAATAAATATTCCGCAACCATGGCATGCTGAGTTCATAATCCCAGGGATGCCAATGCTGCGCTGAAATTAAATGAGATTCGGAATTTTTATATAAATCTTTTATATTTCTCTTTGGAAGCTAGGTGGCAGGAGGAGCCTAGGGATAAGAGGATTTGCAGGCTGAGAATTTGGATGGTGGCTGGGAATGTTAGGTGGGGATGCTCCAGTTTCATGACTGATGTTTTGTGGCAGTTTCACAACTGCTAAAGAGGCTGCTAAAAGGTTCCTTGGATGCATTTGTTTATTACATACATAATGTTGTCATGTACAGTTGTACCCTGGTAGTTTGCAATAAAATAAATAAAAGGGAAGCTAAAACCAGTAGAAAGACAAACAATTCAAAATGAAAACCATGAATGGTAAAAGTGTGGTGAAGAAGTTGTTATAAAGCCACATTATAAAGATCTGAAGTGCCTGCAGATAAATGCCAGCTGTTGATCTTGCTGGGGGATTGAGGGATGAGGTGTCCCACAGGAAGAGATCTTGATCATCTTCAGAACCAACCTGGCTGCTGAATTAGACATTAACTGAACTTTCAAGACTAGAGCCAAAGGGAACCCAGTGCAGAATGCATGATAATCCTTTTGGGAAGGAACTTATAACCTATAAGAAGTTAGCCTGGGAAGTTGAGAAATATATATTGGAAGAACCCAACCCACACATTTCAGTGTTGGAGTTCATTTTTTTTTTACTACCAGTTCTGTGGGTGTGGCTTGGTGGGCATGGCAGGGGAAGGATACTGTAAAATCTTCCCTCCCCACTCCAGGGAAAGGTTGATGCAAAATCCCCATTCCCTGCTGATCAGCTGGGAGGCAGAGAATAGATAGGGGCGGGGCCAGCCAGAAGTGGTATTTACCAGTTCTCTGAACTGCTAAAAATTTCTGCTACTGGTTCTCCACAACTGATCAGAACTTGCTGAATATCACCTCAAATCCATTTCTATGTATTTTTTGCCAACATGCTGATATATGTGATGCTATCAGCAATTGAGTTTTGCCTGAATGAAATTCTTGCTTGCCATTGTGGGCACCTGTGTACTTGTTGCTGTCACGCTGTACGAGTACCAAGTAGTCTTCTCAACTCTGGACTTGCTCCTCTTTTCCTATGAAAAATGGATGCTTTCCTCTATGGGCCAATCTAGTGTCTCCCCTGCCATTGGCTATCATACCAGGCAGTGATTCGGATTAATTGAGTAGCCTCTGAAAGGCCCCTATCCTTTGCATGTCCTTCTCATCACCTTTCCACTCTGAGCCACAGCCCAGTCAACTGTCGCTGTGCTCTCCCAACTTCTTATTCCCATCAATGTCTTTTTACACACCAAAAATGCCATCAGACAAAATATTTTATTGGCTTAGCAGGACAGTGATGCTGATGCTACATTCTGGAGCTGTGTTTGTCAACCTCAGCAACTTTAAGATGTGTGGACTTCAATTCCTGAAATTCTCTGATCACCATGAAATAAAGACATGGCTTTCTGATACTGCAAACATGTTTGGAGATCAGCTTTATCCCTCTCTTATTAACTGATTGCCGCATAGGTTCTAAGTGCAATTCCAGGTGAGACTTATTACTTATAGATATAATAGAGGGCCTCGGGGGCGGGGGAGGCTGTTTTCGCCCTCTCCAGGCTCCCAGAAAGCCTCTGGAGCAGGGGTGGGTTCCTTCCAGTTCTAACCTCTTCTATAGAAGAGGTTCCACAAATCTACAGTGCCGTATAGAACCGGTTCCAGCTCCCTCCCCCCCGCCCGTCTGCACATCATCAAGATGAAGAGCGAGAGGAGGAATTCTTGGAGTTGAAGTCCACAAGTCTTAAAGCTGTCAAGTTTGAACACCCCTGGGTTTTTTCCCCCTAAAGGGTTAGGGGTGCAAGGGTCTTGTAACTTGACAGCTTTAAGACTTGCTTGCTTCAAATGCCAGAGTTTCTGAGCCAACATTTTGGTTGCTAAGCAAGAACGTTGTTAAGTGAGTTTCACCACATTTTACAAGTTGGCCACTCCCCCCTGGTCACATGGCTGGCAAGCCACTCCCACCCGGTCACATGGCTGGCAAGTCACTCCCACAAAGCAGGCCGCACCTTTTAGGGAA